CTTGCTTTAGCCAATGAAACAACAGCAAACAGTATACAAACAGAGACTTGAAAAGTTTTACATTGGGGCTTGCCATTTTGCTGGTATTAGAACTTCCTAATCACTATGTGAACAAGAACTTGAGCAATCACATGGAGAGAGACCCCAGTCAATACAACTGAGACCATTGTGAACTGCCAGCCTCAGCCAATCTACCTGTTAACCACAGATGCATAACTAAACCTAACCAAGATAAGTCAACCATGGTGCAGATGAAAAAAAAAAAACAACCTACCCAGCGGAGCCTAACCCAAAATGCCATCCTGCAAAATAGTGAACTAAACATATAATGGTTGTTTTAAACCACTAAGTTTGGGGCGATATTTGACAGAGCAATAAACAGATAACTGATGTAATCATCTAGCTTTTTACTGTTTATAGAACATTTACTGTATCATACATGAGCACCACTGTGAAGAAAATGTAATCAGATATCAGCATTTGGACAAGGATCATTATTCTACAAAAAGGCCTTTCTGGAGTCTTCTTCTAAATAGATAATAAGAATAGCCAAGAGGACATTTCGGAGGGCAGATAGCAATGAACATGGGATCTTAACAGTTAATCTATATAAAAAGTTAAAGACCACATCCTGAAAGTAAACTACATATTTTTTACTTAACTTTTTTAGGCAAAATAATTTGAGAATTCCTTAAGGTTCAAATGCTATATTAGTGATTATGGTCTGAGAAATTATTTGAGAGTTTTTTTAACCTACCTAGAAATTTACTATGGTACAAGAAAACTTGAACTGTTCAATATCCCATCTTCCCAGAAATGTTTAGTTTCAAAGATCTGACTAAATAAAACACAGTATCTCTTAGTATCCACCACCAACAAACATTACCAAAAAGGCTGAAGATTATTATACTATGGCTAACATGTTATAATTTGTTTGGCTTATATCACAACAGAAAAATAATGTTGACAGGCTAATAATATATATGAGGTGAATCTTCAAGCAAAAGTTGGAGTATCTGGTCTATATATATAAAAGCCTAAGCGACTGTCCAACTGTTCGACCGGTAGCTATGATGCGCACTGACCACCAGGAGGCATATGCTCCAACCAGTAGATTAGTTTGCTGCTCGGGTCCGGCAGATCAGGACTGGGTGAGACGGGCCGGACATGCCTGGAACCCTCCCACGGTCCCTCCCTGGCCCTGATCGTGCACAGTGGGGTCCCGGATTGCGAGAGGGCACAGGCCAGGCCAAGGGACCCCACCGGTGCATGAATCCATGCACCAGGCCTCTAGTCCTATCTAATAAAAGACAAAAAGGGTAATTAACCATACCTCCGCTACACTTCCCATTGGCTAATCAGGGCGATATGCAAATTAACTGCCAACAAAGATGGCGGCCGGCAGCCACACAGCTGAAGCGAGCATGAGGCTTGCTTGCTCCAGTGATGGAGGAAGCCAAGGTTCCCGGCCTGCCGCGGCCCAGCTCTGAGCCCAAAAGCAACAATGTTTCAATTATAGAAGCTAAACAAACCCCAGATACCTGCTTTAAGCCAGCCGCGGCCTCAGAGCTGGGAGCGCCAGTGACGGCAACAATGTTTCAATTATAGAAGGTAAATAAATC